TCTTCAATTTGTAGAATAATTTTTATCCCATTCTTACTTAGCTAAGCCTACATACTTCAGTAATAACAGTTATTAGATTGAGAATTTCCTCATATGTTACAGTAACAGTATTATTAGTGTGTATTTTAGACTAGACTGATATAATACTCTTACATGTTCTTCATCAAACTGATCACCTCCAAACGCTGCTACACAGGGTTTGATGCCTCCTGTACCAAAGGCTATAAGGATCAGACCCACCATAGCCAATGATCTCGAGGGAGGGGGTTGGGAGGGAGTGTGAGGAGGTATTGCGTGAGAGAGGGAGGGATGGAGTGACGACGAGTGAGGGAGATCTTTCGCGCTTTTCGAGAGTGTACGAGTTAGCTCTCTCTCCTCTCTCTCCCTCTCTTCTCATAGAGAGCACATTGTTATATGACTTTGTCCACCTTTCCTAACTCAGATGTTCACATCCATTTGTCACTACTCACATGTTCGGTCGAGTCCCCCACACTGCCGATGGCCCCAACGACTTGACGACGTACCCGAGCACATAGACAACAGAGGATGTCCAAACAATGGTCCTTTGGTGAACATTACGACAAAGTAGTGACTTTCACAGTTACTTCAGCTTCTCCTCCACTAACACAAGATTCAACATAGGAACAACAACAGTGGAGGCTGGTGGAGGGAGAAATCTGAGGACAAAATGACACCAGCCTCATATATTTCCCACTGAGGGATTGGAGGCATTGACTTCTCCATCTAACTCACTTGAACTTCCCCAGCCAGGAGTCAGCGATGAGGGCCCCCAGAACAGGGGTGAAGTAGCAGAGGCTGGAGAAGGCATGGTACACTGCTGTGGACAGGTTCTGGTCCCAATGCAGGTAGTTGATGAAGTACAGCGTCAGCACCGCTTCACACAAACACAGCAGGGAAGTAAGAAGAAATAGATAAGGAAGCACCAGGGATCAGAGTTTGAAAAGTACAGTATATCATTGCTCCCTCTTGATCAGGTCTTTATTGTAAAAGAGATTGTGTTCTCAATAAATGTGATAAATAGAGTTTGGCAATATGAGAATGAAACTACACTGCCTTCTTTAGGTGTGAGATTATGTAAACAACTCCCCTGATTTTACACTACACAGCAAATTCTCCAGTGTTAAAGAAAAACAAAATGAACACTGAGAGTGTTGAGTCTGTAGACCCATATAGACACCAGAACAGTGTTAAGACTAGCTGCAAATCTGATCTGTCCCCTATACGCATTCAATTGTTAGTGCACTACTACCACATATCAGTTCAATTGGTACAGCATTCTCACTAACGGGTGCAACAAATATAGCCACTTACAAGGTATGACTCTAAATATGTTAATGAGCCAGCGATTCTTTACCCGCCCACAACATTTCTCCACAATGCACCATAATTCACAGCTCCCTCTGCTGGGATCCGTTGATTGGGTCAATACTGACTGTGAATTTATAATTATGCCCACCTGTGTGGTCTTGTTGCTGTGATATTGATTGCCATTGCCTTGCACACTGAAGAGGGGCTCATACCCCAAATGTTGGTGTGGCAATAAAAATATGTCAATTTAAGTTATTTACTGGAGTGCTGTCCTATTTCTGCTCTGTGGAATTACAGTACCATTCGAAATAAAGCAATTTTCCCACAATGAACCATCATTTACAGTAAGCTGCACTAAAACTTTTCCGTTTTTTTTTTTTTTACTGTTGATAATACCTCAAATGACCATATAAATTACAGTTTTTTCCGTTACAGTGTAGTTAGGAGAACTATTCTTAATTATAGGTTACCTACCTTTCATGCCATAGTAGGAGAAGCGTTCACAGAACTCATTCACCACAATGAAGGAGATGCTGACAGGGTAGTTGGTCCCACATAGTTTCTGAGGAGAAGAGAGAAAGACAAAGAGAGAGAGAGAGAGAAAGCGAAAGACAAAGAGAGCGAGAGAGAGAGAGTCATTAAAAGCTGTATGTGCTTTCTATAGTAATACATGACTCATACTAACTAGAGTCAGTTAAACAATGAATTGATACTGCTGTCCATAATGCTTTACTACTGAGCAAGAGACAGTAAGTCTCCATACTAAATGGCACCCTATTCCCTTACATAGGGTACTACATTTGTCCTGGTCCATAGGGCCCTGGTCAAAAGTAGTACACTATATAGGGAATAGGGTGCCATTTGGGACACATTATAAAGAGTCATTCATTAATCATACCAGCACATTACAGATTAGACTAAAGAGCAACTGACAGGTAATTTTGACATTCATCATGGTTCAAAGAAAAGAGAAGTCAATAATAATAGTCTGAAGAAGAAAGGAAAGTTGAAATGATCAACTAAGGAGAACCCAGAAATCTTGCCAAGAATTGTCCAGTCAATATCCATTGTTTTACCTGTTCAATGCAGTCCAAAGACATGACCATGAATATATTGTGCAATAAAACATGAAAATTGAGAAATATAAAATATTACCGGTGATTTGCTTGTC